GGACTGGGATTCAATCCCCAGCATCCACATGGCAGCTCACAACTGTCTGTAACTCCAGTTCCAGGGGATCCGACACCCTCACACAGACATCTATGCAGGCAAAACACCAATGCACATAAACATTTTTTAAAATTATTTAAAACCCCCCCACAGGTCAAAACGGGCAAAGGAGTCTTACTATGCTAGGGCACCAGGCAGCCCATGGTGGCTGGTGAGGTGCTCAGGAGGCTCTACGCTCCTCTCTTGCTGAGGTGTAAAGGCGGTAGGTGTTAGGGGCAGGGAGACATTTTTTTCAGTGGTGTAGCCATTAGCGAACTGTCCACACTACTGTAAGTTACCCCTCACTTGTGCTCCTACAAGCAACCCTAATTAAATTCACTGGCTCAAACACCCCTCCAAAAAAGACATGAAAGGAGAGGCGGCTACCTGGAAGAAGAGGGGGAACATGGGAGTCGGAGGGGGATAAAAGAGGGTAGCGGGGGTGAATAGGATCTAAATGCATTGTAAACATGTCTGGAAAAGTCATACTGGAACTCAGTATTACGCCGCTGAGATATGCTAGTAAAGAACTTTAAAAAGGAAGCCGAGCCAGGGGTCTAACACAGCTTAGTGGTAGAGTGTTTGTGTTGCATGTTCAAGGCCCTGAGTTCAATCCCTAGGATTGAGAAAGAAAACACTGGGGCTAGGGATATTGCTCAGTCACGTTGCTCTGCAAGGCCCTGGGTTTAGGAGACAGACAGACAGAGACACAGAGACACAGAAAGACAGAGAACTAGCCATGGTTCCAGAGGGCAAGATTCGGGTGTCCTACAGAGGTTGGTGGGAGCAGCATGAACACATGGGAATACCCAACAGAGAAAGGCAGGACCTGCCGCTTTAAGACAGCATCGGCCAGGCTTTCTTGGCTTGTTCATCTTGATGTGCAAAACGCTGTGAGCCAGAGGAAGATTTTTATTTGAGACAGCTCCACTGTGAGAGCAGGTAGAGCCAACCCAAGTTGACAGACACTTTCCTCCCTTCTATGGAGATCTTGCCATGTGTACTACACCTGGCTGGTCCCTCTCAATCAGCCAGAAATTCAACTTGTACATACATACTGGAGAGTGAGTACATGTCAGGCAAGATGGAAATAAAATATTACCTCCATTATTTTCTCTCCATTCTTTGAGACAGGGTTTCATGTAACTCAGGCTGGCCTCAAGTCTGTAGTGGTCAACTGTTGAATATCAATTCCTGACATTCCCGATTCTACCTCCCAAGTGCTGATGTTACAGGTAGGTGCCCAGCAAACACTATCTTTATAAGGAGAATGCATGATCGGTTCACACAAAACTTCCCATGCAAAAGTAAATCAAGAAGGAGAAAGCGCATGATTTAATATTACCAAATAATGAATGGCTTTAAATATACCTTTGCTACTGGTACCGTGGCACACACTTGTAGTGACTGGTGCATACGGCCCATTTGACTATAAGAGTTCAAAAACAGCCTGGGCAATATAGCAAGACCCTGTCTCAATAAAAATGGAATAAATAAAGTATAACCGTGGGCGAGTACTTAGTTAGACATTAATGTAAGTTTCTTCAGTATCTGCCCAGACTGCAGCTGGGCTGGCAGCCCGTTGGTAGAGTGTTTGCAGAGCGCACACAAAGCTCTGGGTTTGGTCCCCAGCACTCCATACCTGGGCCTGCTGATGCAAGCTTATGATCCCAGGATATCCTTGTAATTTTAGCACTTTGAGGTGGAAGAAGGAGGATCAGAAGTTCAAGGTCATCCTTGACTACATAGTGAGTTTGAGGCCAACCTGGGCTACTTGAGACTTCATCTCAAAACAATAAAATATATGTGTCTATGTATGTGTGTATTTGCATATACAATATATATTTGCACATATATGCACACACACATAATGCTTTGCGAGCACCAGCTGGGCAGGGACACACCCGAGAGTGCTCCTTCCTTCCTTCATTTTTGCTTAGTTCCCACTCACACTTCGACACTAGTTCTCAGTCCCCACCCAGAATCTGAGCTGCAACTTTGTTTGTTTGACACAGGCTCTCACCATGTAGTCCTGGCTGTTCTGGAACTGACTCTGTAGACCAGGCTGGTCTCGAACTCACGGAGATCTACCTGCCTCTGCCTCCCGAGTGCTGGGATCAGAGGCGTGGCCGCCATGCTCAGTTGTCTAACTTTTTAAACATTTAAACACTTCATTGACTTTTACAGAAGGGAAGTGTAATTACTGTAGAAGAAAAATACATGTAACATAAAATAATACCTTGTATTATACTATACATAACATATATCATCCTGAACAACTATGTAGGAAACAAAATACACTGTCTTTCATGAGAACATGCTAACAGCACCCTTCAGAGAGACCTGAGACAGGCACTTTCCCTGCCATTGATGAGCAGAAACTGCTATAGCTACTCTGAAAGGTAATTCTGAGATTCTCAGTGAGTCTTCATAATATCCACTGTCTTTGGGCATGATCTGTTTACACCTAGAAATGTGTTCTAAGAAAATATCAAGTATAAACACTCACTTAAAGACTAAAATGATGCAAACAATAAACATCCAACATAGAACTATGATTACAGGATGCACATGGGTGCAATACAACCATCTAATAAAACCACAAATGCTTTTAATACAGGAAAATGCTTATATCATCCAAAACAGACAAATACAGCCACAATAGCTAGGATTAGATGTATGAGAAAAGCTAAAAATACTTAGCAAATTAGCAATGATTACGTCTCTCTCTCTCTTCTTCACGTACTGTCTATGTATGTGTCTATACGGAGGTCAGAGGGTAACCTGTGGGAGTCTGTTCTCTCCTTCGGTTCACCATGTGGGTTCTGGGACTCACTCAGGCTTGGTGGTGAGGGGCCTGGCCCACTGAGCCATCTCACCGGCCAGCGTCATGTCTGATTATGACTTTCTTTTTTTTGGGGTGGGGGGATTTCGAGACAGGGTTTCTCTGTGTAGCTTTGCGCCTTTCCTGGAACTCGCTTTAGAGACCAGGCTGGCCTCGAACTCACAGAGATCCGCCTGCCTCTGCCTCCCAAGTGCTGGGATTAAAGGCATGTGCCACCACCGCCCGGCTGATTATGACTTTCTTAACACGTCTGCATTGCACCAGTTGGCTTTCCACCCCGTGACAACCAGACAGGCTTGTCAGCTGGAAGGAAGGAAGCTTTCTTTTAGCTCACAGTCGACGGTTTCAGTCCATGGTCACTGGGCTCTGCTGTTCTGCACCTGTGGTGAGGCAGGGCATCAGGGTGGGAGCATTTGGTGGCACAAAGCTGCTCCCCTCCTGAGCCAAGAAACGGAGAGGCAAGAATGAGAGGAAGCAAGAAGGGACATAATACTCCCTTCAAGGGCACGCCTTCCAGCTATGGCCTAATTCTCAGTTCCCACCATCTCCCAATAGCCCATTATGCTTTGAATCCGTATATATAAATCCATCCGTGAGGCCAGAGTGCTCGGGTTCTAATCCACTTCCAAAGGCCACAACTTTGAACACTGCAGAGATGGCTCAGTGCTTAGGAGCACTTGCTGTTCTTGTACAGAATTCATAGTAACTCACAACTATCTGTAACTCCAGTCGCAGGGGATCCAGTGCCATCTTCTGGCCTCTGTGGTCACCTGCATGCACGTGGTGCACATAAACCCATGGAAGTACTCATACACATACAATAAATAAATATATACATATATATGTATATATATATATTGGGTTTTTTTTCTTTTTAAGATTTATTTATTTATTATGTATATACAGTGTTCTGTCTGCACGTATCCCTGCAGGCCAGAAAAGGGAACCAGATCTCATTACAGATGGTTGTGAGCCACCATGTGGTTGCTGGGAATTGAACTCAGAACCTTTGGAAGAGCAGCCAAGTACTCTTAACCTCTGAGCCATCTCTCCAGCCCTATATATTGGTTTTTTGAGAAAGGATTTCTCTGTGTAGCCCTGGGTGTCCTGGAACTCACTCTGTAGCCCAGGCTGGCCTCAAATTCACAGAGATCTGCCTGCCTTTGTCTTCCAAGTGCTAGGATTAAGGGCTTGAGCCCAGCTAAAAATAAATAAATTTTAAAATGAAAATGAAGCTAGGAGTGATGGATTACACCTGTAATCTCAGCACCTGCGAGTCTGAGGCAGGAGGATCAGGAATTCCAGGACTACAGAGTGATTCCCTAAATAAAAAAGTCCAATAAATAAATCATGAAGCAATTTACAGAAGCTGTAAATGTTACTTAAAATAAAATTTATACTTTGACCATACACCAATAAAATTAAAAAGAAAATCACTATATGTCATAAAATATAAATGAGTTTTATTTATGAATGAATTGACGCATAGCAAACAGAAAATATGACATTAGAAGAATATATGCCATATCTAGGCAAAGCTTATCACAAGAATTTAAGGATGTTTTAATATTACAAAAACCTTTAATGTAACCAATCATGCAAGTGATTAAAATATTATTACATTAAGAGATTGATTCATTTTATCAAGCTTTCAGCTTCCAACAAATAAGAATAGAGTATTTCTCTTATCCTAATAAAGAATTTAAAAACTAACAAGTATATTTAATGAAGAAATATCAAAAATATTTTTTTAAAGATTTATTTATTCATTATGTATACAGTGGTCTGCCTGCATTTATGTCTGCAGGCCAGAAGAAGGCATCAGATCTCATTATAGATGGTTGTGAGCCACCATGTGGGTGCTGGGAATTGAACTCAGGTCCTCTGGAAGAACAGCCAGTGCTCTTAACCGCTGAGCCATTTCTCCAGCCCCCCAAAAATATTTTCTATTCGTATTTAATATAAAGTGATAGAGTTGCATAACAAATCACTTTGTAGCCGTGATTTTATATTCAGAAAAACAAACAGGCCATGTACGACTATTACAACTGACAATTCACCCAAAGGCAAGGATCATAAAAGCGTATTTCAGAGAGATCCCCATGATGAGTAGCAAAACAAACACAAAATATTCAAGGAAGAATTAGCATAACAGATTTATAAAAACAAAAACAAAAACATAGTGAGGAAAGTCAGAACACATCAGTGGTGGAGACGGAATCCTGGATGGGAAACTCCACTTCGTAAACACAAACTGACTTCAGACTCAATGATTCAGCTGTTTGCTTTACACATCACCCTCATTAGGACAACAAAAAATGTTGTTTGTTTAAGTAAAGGACCTGAGCTGAGTGTGGTGGTGCACCCCGTTAGTCCCAGCGGATCTCTGTGGGTTTACCCGGTCTACATGAGTTCCAGGCCAGCCAGGGCTACAGTGAGAGCCTGATTATAAGAGGAAAAAAAGCAAAAGTAGACAAAACAGACAACAACAAAGCCAGTGAAGGCCAGCATATTGACAACTGATCCAGTATTTGACAAGAAATGTCCTAAGTCTACATGTCAGAACTACCATGAGGAACAAATAACGTTTTAGCCCAAAGCCAAAGCACTGGAATGTGAGGGAGCACTATGCAGGAGGTACGGGAACCACCTCTCTGGGGTCAGCAAGGGCTATTGAGTATCTTGACGATTATAATTTTGCCAGCCTTTGAGGCAGGCAGAGGGAAGTGGGGATGGTATTTACAGATGAGGCAACCTCATTTAAAGATGGAGTCCAGGACTGGGCCTGGGGATGTGCCTCAGTTGGCAGGGTGCTTACTTAGCATGACGAAGTCCTGTCTTCAGTCCCCAGCACCACATAAGTGGGACTGGGCAGTAAACACCAGTGACATCAGCACTCAGGAGGCGGAGGCAGGAGGATCCAAAATGTAAACTACACAGTGAATATTCAAGACCAGCCTAGGAGACATAAGACCCTGCCTAAAAAAAAAAAAAAAAAAGCCAAAATTTTCAAGTTGGTTGAAATTCTGGCATCCGTTTTGGTTTTGTTTTTTGTTTTTGTTCTTGTTTTTGAGACAGGGTTTCTAGCAGCCAGGCAGGCCTCTAACTCACTGTGTTATGAAAGCTGGCCTTGAATTTTTTTTTTTTTCTGAGACAGGGTTTCTCCATGTAATAGTCCTGGCTGTCCTGGAACTCACTCTGTAGACCAGGCTTGAACTCACAGAGATCTGCCTGCCTCTGCCTCCTGTGTGCTGGGATTAAAGGCCCACCCGGTGGCCTTGAACTCTCCATTCTTCTGCCTCCAGCTTTGTGCTGTGGAACTAATATGAAATGTAAAGCCCAAGGAAATGCTGACCTGCTCCTGAGACTGTAAGTGAAAACCACCTCAAGACACTGTAGTGAGTGTGCATTACCTGGCCCACCCACTTGAGGGAGCGCCCAAGTCAGCCATCACCCACCTCTATAAACTGACCCCAAATTAGCTCCCCAGCAAGACAGGCCCTATCCTCCCTTTCTAAGAAGTTTATTTTTAAATAAAATCAGCCCTTTGCCTCAGTACCACATCTCTCAACTTCATCTGCCTGTCATGGGGGTAAGCAGCCAGACGGGGTCCAGTAACAGTTACAGAAGAGGAGCTCAGTGCTGAGGATACGGCTCAGTGGTGGAGCGCTTGTCCAGCATGAGCGCATTCATGAACGCATGGGCCCATCCCCAGTATCACACACACATACCAAAAGATAACCTTGTAGACTAAATTCCAAGAGAACTAAAATTAAAATGGAACATTATACACTTGAATAAAATGTTGCAACAATGACCACAAATCAATAAACATCATATATAAGAGCATAATCGTGATATATGTGAGAAAACAACGTAAAAGTCTACCATGTCTATTGATGGAAAGGGTGTGCACTGAGCTATTCCATTCCATTAAGGATTTAAGATGGCTTACAATAAATATATACAGGAGAACGACAAAGTATAAATAGTAATAATAAAAAACGCAATTTCTTTTTGAGACAGAGTCTCATTATGGAGCTCTGGCTAGCCTGGAACTCACTATGTAAATCAGGGTAGCCTTGAACTCACAGAGACTTGCCTGCCTCTACCTCTGTAGTGCTGCGATTAAAGCCATACACCACAATGACTGACTGGCCTTTCTTTTTAAAGTTTAGTCCCAGAATTCAGATGTAGCTTGCTAGTCAAGGGCTTTGCCTTACACAGGCAAGACCCTGGGTTTAATCCTACCACACACACACACACACACACACACACACACACACACACACACACACACACCAAATACCACTATGAAAAAAAGTCACAACTAGGAATTTAAAATGAAAGAATGTAAAACACTGTCATTGACAACCAAAGTGCAAAGACCTGAGTTTACTGTCCATTAAGAGGAAACCGAGTTTTCTTTTGGAAAGACATTTTCTACATCCCTCCTCTCATTGACTTCACGATACAAGTTTCTCTAAATAAGTAAGGTAAGTTTGTCGTTATGAAAACTGACTGAGTGGCCCCTATTTTTCAAAAGTCATGTTACGGAAAGAAACACAAGCCCTTCTCTTTATACAATGTCATTGGGGAACATGGCCACAACAAAGATCTGCCAATCACAAGATGAAAACAGTATGATGAGTGGGGGCAGAGAGGCTGGAGGAAGGGGGGGGGTGACCTTGAAGACCGGCAAAGCACGGCGCGCGCGCGCGCGCGCACACACACACACACACACACACACACACACACACACACATTCCCGATGACCCGTCCCATCCTCAGAAGGGGCAGACACAACTGGAGGAAGGAGTGAACTACACATCCTTCAAGATACAGCCACAGAGCACTGGTCGGCTCAGTAAGAGTTGAGAAGCGGTTGGGAGTGAGGTAGAAAACTCTGGTGAGAGCCCAAAGATTATTAACTGTGATGCCGATTGAGAATGGACCCCTGGGGTTGAGTATCATGGACACAGTATGGATAACAGCACAGAGGGCCCCAGCAACAAAATACAACATAGGAAATTCACAAAATCAAGACACACAGAATGCAGGGGCAGAGGAGGCCATTCATCTACACAGATATTTAAAGGAATCCGTATCAAAAGACAGTATTGTTTAGCACTTACAAGCCAAACAAAGGTATGAAATGGCTTTTAAACTCAATACAAAATGAGACAAATACATCTGATACAAAAGGAGATATTCAAACATTGTTATGAGTATTGAAATATTCCAGAATAAGGGAGGTAATTAAGCTATATAAACAATTCTGTGTAAAAAGGGATTATGTATACACCCAAGTAATACGCAGTGTGTAAAAACTCTGTGATGTCTACAGTGGAAGCTGTGTGAACGGAGTCTAGAAAACGCGAGCTGGACACAGAGGCAGCAGAAAGCTGCCCTCCATCCCATGGCTGGAAAGGGGGAACCGCAGACAGAGGCTACAGCTTCAGGATTTGCCCTGGACTGATCCCCTCTGTGCTCAGAATTTTACCCTCTTTGCCCGCTCCAGGTCCAACCTCGCCTGCAAATGTATTTTCGCTTTCACCCTGGGTTCTCCCAATAAGGGATGAGATAGGTATTAAAGTTACCAATGCTAGTAAGTAAGGGAAGAGAGAATGGCTACAAACTCCAGCTCAGCTGCTCTTGCTTCTGGTCCTCCAAGATGGACAAGCTGCTTCTCACTTCCTCTATGCTCCTTAAGGTTTACTGGGGCTTCCTGGGCGATTGGGCAGGGGCAGGGGCCAGCGGCCTGGCTTCTGCAGCCCCAGCCCCAGGGGCCCCTTGCTTCTCAGCGCCTTGTGAGTGCCCGGCAGAGGTCACACTGTCTGAAAGGAAGAAGAGAGATGAGCTTTCTGTTTTAGTTCTATGTTGGGAGCAACATGGGAGTGAGTGGGGTAGACTGGATCAAACAAAACAAAAATAAATAAAAATACGCAGTTAGAATGACTAAGCGGCAGATACTTCTGATCTTAAACGTAGTGAAAAGACAGTAAGCTCATTCCATTTTGTCCACCTCCAGAGCAGCCCTTGCTCAGTACCTAGTAGAGTTACAACAAAGTGGATCGCCCTGCAGCTTTGTGCTGATTTGAATAAGAATGACCCCCTACAATCGTATATTTGACTACTTACACACCAGGCAGGGAACTCTTTGATAAGATTAGAAGGATTAGGAGGGGCGGCCTTGTTGGAGGAAGTGTGTCACTAGGGGTGGGCTCTGAGGTAACAAAAGCCCATGCTGGGGGGCCCAGTGTCTCTCTCTCTCTCTCTCTGCCTGTGGGTCAGGATGGAGCTCTCAACTACTTCTCCAGAACCATGCCTGCTGCGCCTGCCACGAGGCTCCCTGTAATGATGATAATGGACTAAGCCTCTGTAACTATAAGCAAGACCCCAATTAAATGTTTTCTTCATAAGAGTCACCTTGGTCATGGTGTCTCTTCACAGCAATAGAACAGTGACTAAGACAAACTTAAAAAAAAAAAAAAAAAAAGAATTATTTGCTTTTATTTTACGTGTATGAGTGTTTTGCCTGCATGTATGTAAGTGTACATGTACATGCATGCAGTGACTGCTGAGGTCAGAAGAGGGCATCAGACTCCACAGAACTGGAGTTAGGATGGTCGTGAGGACCGAACCTGGGTCCTCTGCAAGAGCAACAAATGCTCTGAACAGCCCAGCCATCTCCAGCCCTTCCTGGGACAGGCTATTTTATTTCTAGTCTGTTGCCTGTAATGTGGTCAAAATTACTTAAAAATGAAAACAGGAAAACTGTAGTTCAAGTTGACAAAAGAAAACCATATGTACATTAATCTTCACCTGCCGTCTCTGTCCCACATTCCCAGCTGAATTATTAAGATAATTCTACCAAATTCTTGACCCCCAGTTTGCCCAGAAGCTACCATATTCCAATACTTGGGCATATTTTCTACCTTGGCAAAAATCTCCTCTTCTTTGGTTAGAATTATATTTCCATACCATAAAACGTTAACTGGGGCTACAGAGATGGCTCAGTGGCTAAAGGCACTTGCTGCCGTAATCAAGGATCTGAGTGCGGCACCTCCATTAAGCAGTTCACAGACCTCCAAGGGATCTGCTGCCCTCTTCTGGCCTCCTGTAGCACCTCCACCCCACATGTGCATACACATAGTACAGAACCTTAGCATACCTCCTCACAAATGGTCCCCTGCCTACCTTTCTCTTCCAGCATCTTGTGCAGCTTCATATGTTTGTAGATGGTGATTATCTGGAAGTTGACAACACTTGAAATACTCAGTTCTTGGTCCTCTAACAGCTTCAGGGTGGTGGCGTGAATGAGCTTGTGGGACCGCTTGCAGGTCTGAAGTGTGCATTCGCCCCGGACAAAGGACTTGCATACATGAAACTTGTTGCATTTGTCCCTGAGGTTGCAGTAGCCATACAGGACATCGCCACCTTTGTTGTACAGCAAACAGACCTGAGGCAGGAAGGAGGCAACGCCTGAGATGGGAGTTCTCACGGTTATCTTTAAGCTAACAGACTATACCTTCTTCAACTAAATTAGAAGTTTAATGGCATCTTTGGGGGAGGGGAGCGTGTGTGTGCACAGGTGTGTGCACATGCCTGTGCAGGCCAAAGGTCAATACCGGGAATCTTTCTTTAAATACCCTCCACTTTGTTTTTTGAGACAGGTTCTCTCGTGGAACTTGGAGCTGATTCAGATAGGGTGGCTGGTCAGCAGGCCCCCGGGTTCTCCTGTTCCCTCCTCCCCAGCATTATGATTACAGGGCACCCCACCACACCTGTCTTTTAAAGAAAAGAAAAGGAAAAGAATTATGTATATATGTGTGAGTCTATGTGGGGGTATATTCCTGTGAGTACAGGTGCTCAAGGAGGTCAAAGGCATCAGATCCTCTGCAGCCAAAGTTTCAGGTAGGCTGCCCAACATGGTTGCTTGTAGAGAACTTGTCTAACATGCAGAGTCCTGGGTTCGACCCCCCAGCACTGCATAGAACTGGGCATCTGGCCCATCCCTGTAATCACGTCAGGGAGACGGGCAGGAGGATCAGAAGCGGCCAAAGCTGGTTTCCATGCCGTGCTGGGGATTGAACTCGGGGCTTTACCCATGCTAGGTGAGCACTCTAGGAGCCGGGCTACGTCTCTGGCCCTTGTGTTTTGATCGGTTTTGTTCAGAGACAAGGTCTGTGGTTATCCTTTTACCTTAGCTGAGTGCCAGGATTATACGAATAAGTCACCAAGCCTAGCTTATTTTTGTTTTTTTTTTTTTTTGGTTTTTCGAGACAGGGTTTCTCTGTGTAGCTTTGCGCCTTTCCTGGAGCTCACTTGGTAGCCCAGGCTGGCCTCGAACTCACAGAGATCCGCCTGGCTCTGCCTCCCGAGTGCTGGGATTAAAGGCGTGCGCCACCACCGCCCGGCCTTATTTTTGTTTTTTGAGGAACCTCCATACTAGGTTGTACAATGTTTAATGATAATTTATATTCCTACTAACAATGTATGAGAGTTCTCGACGTCCTTGCCACAATCTATCTTTGTTTTATCTTGGTTTGGGTTTGATTTTTGGTTTGCTTCATTTTCAAGTCAAGATCTTGGTTTGTAGCCCAGGCTGGCCCTACCTCTCAATCCTTCTGCTTTAGCTTCTGGAGAATTACAGTTTTGCACCACCACACTCGTCTGCTTTTTATCCTTCTTGTTTTGGGCAGGGGTGAGGGGGGTGGAGGGGTTCAAGACAGGGTTTTTCTGTGTAGTGTTGCCAGTCCTGGAACTCACTCTGTAGACCAGGCTGGCCTCAAACTCAGAGATCCACCAGCCTCTGCCTCCTGAGCACTGGGAGTAAAGGCGTGCGCCACCACCAGCTGGCGAATACATCTAATTTTTAAAGTCTATTAATAAACTGTGGGTTGGGCTGGAGAGATGGCTCAGAGGTTAAGAACACTGGCTGCTCTTCCAGAGGTCCTGAGTTCAATTCCCAGCAACCACATGATGGCTCACAACCATCTGTAATGTGTTCTAGTGCCCTCTACTGGCCTGCAGGGATATATGCAGGCAGAACACTGTATACATAATAAATAAAATCTTTAAAAAAAAAAATAAAAAATAAACTGTGGGAGCCCACAGAGGTTTCCTAGTGAGATCTGAGCTCGCTTTACCCAGCAGGGCTGCATTAGGAGATGGCTTGACCACCTGCATGGTCACCAGGTGTTTGGGATGGTCTGCACTTGGCTGTGCTGGGGGGAGGTCTTTTGCTCCACCCCTTGGCATTCCTTTAAAAGCCCTTTAGAAGAGACAGAAGGGGCTGGTGGGTTTTGACCCAGGCCCTCCCGAGCTATCCTGTGTTTCTAGCTGCCTCTCTCCTCTATATTTCTATCTACATACTTCTCACTTCTCCCTCCTCAAGATTACCCTGGGAGAAAAAGAGGCTAGCAGGTCTCCCTCAATAAATCCCACTTCATATGAGCTCTCCCTAAAATTCTTTTCTGCCTTGAAGCCAGGGATCCGATTTTATCTGAGCTGAGGTCCCTCAAAGATAAGGGACTGCCTCAGGCGGTCGAAGGGGACATCCTGGAGCTATGTGCCTCCCGCCTCTGACAGCAATGTCCATGATAGAAAGATCATGCCAGATTAAAAAAAATTGATAGTCTCATAAACTTTGATTTGAGATTATTATTTGGTTAACAAATTCTTCACATAAATAGAAACAAATGTGCTAATTTTTTAAATGTGCCTTGGTGTTTTGTCTGCATGTATGTCTATGTGTTAGGGGTGTCGGATCCCCTGAAAAAGGAGCTACACTACAGACAGCTGTGAGCCTCCCTGTGGGTGCTGGGAACTGAACCTGGGTCCTCTGGAAGAACAGCCAATGCTATTAACCCCTGAGCCGTCTCTCCAGCCCCACAAATGTGCTAATTTTACCATTCCAGCAATTAAAAGAGGGTACTTTCAAAGTATCTGGAACCAAATCGTAGGACTTCCAAGCAATTAAAATTAACATCTAAAGTGATGAAGGCGGCAGCGGCCTGCAAACTCAATACTTGAGAGGTGGATTGGCAGAAGAGCAGCCTCGGCTAATACAAAGTTCACGGCCAGCCTGGGCTATGTAAGATCCCATCTCAACAAACAAAACAAACCTCTAGGATTAGAGGATCAGTGTGGGAAAGAGTTGCCACAATGTGGATAGGCTGGCGGCTCATCAGGGACTCACCTCTGGGAAAAGGCAGGGGTCATTCTGCAAAAGCAGGATTCGAAGCTGGGCTTCATTGAGGCCAAAAAGCCCGCGGTTTTTCATGACTTGGATGTTGATAGGCGTGTGGATATCATGGGACAGGGCGCAGGTAGACCTAGAAGTGTTCAGAGCAGTCAGAAGACCAGGCCACGAAGAGGGAGGAGGCTGGCAGCTCTAATTCTTTGCCTTAGGGCATTTCCAACTTACAAGTGAATTCCCCAAGTACTGATAAAAATCAGGCTTGAGGCGACTCAGTCCTGTTCAGTGAGTAGATTGATCTAAAGCCTAGGGTCGGTACCCTACCCAGGTTACTCATCTGTTCCGTAGGGACTAAAACTTGATCTTCAGACCAACAGCTGCTGATCTCCCGTCATCGTCCAGCAACACTATAAAGAAAGCACTTGGACTATGCAGCCGCCGGCCCTCACCCCATCCGGCCACCAGTTTCCTGCGATTGGACTAGACCAGCGTTTTAATCCCTAATGGGCTGTGATTCCCGAAGGAAGGAGGGAAGGGAACAGAAGGTCCGAGGGCCATGGGCCTTCAGATGTCCCCTCAGTGTGGCACTCCACATAAATGAACTCAAAAGTCGCAAAAACGGATTTAACCTGGCTGGTGTTGTGGCGCACCCTAGCATGCTGGGCCAGGGACAGCAATTGGGGGGTGAGGGGGGATGATTAAAAAACTTCAGTGGAGAGGACCTTCCATGTCACACCTCTGCGACTACGAGGAACACAGGAGCGGCCTGCGCCGAAAGCCTTTGTCCCATCCCGCCCGCGGCTAGCCGAGCAGCATCCGGAGGGCGCGTCCCGCCCGCCCGCATCCCCCCACCGCCCCACTGGGGACCGAGGACCCCACCCCTCACCAGCAGTCGCGGTGGGGGCACTTGCCCAGCATGTGACGGCGACACAAGTGCAGCTGGTCGCAGGCCTGGCACTCCCCGCGTTGATAGCGGGCGCAGAGGCGCGCGGAGGACACGGCCACCACCCTGCAGGCCGTGGCGCCGCCACCCGCGCCCGCGCCCGCCGCCACCTCGGCCTCCGGGTCCCACGGGCCGTCGCGCAGCTCCACCTCCTGCAGCAGGAAGCGCTCGGGGCCCGCGCGCCGCAGCACCGCCCGCAGCTTCGCCTCCGACAGCTCCACGTGGCCGCGCAGGTCCTGCAGGAACATGCGGCCGCCGTGAGCACACAGCACCTTGGTGAGGAACGCGCACACCGTGAGGTCCGCCATGGCCCGCGGAGCCCGCGCCGCGCGTCCCCGCCAGCCCGGGGCTTGCAGGCTCCTCCCCGCCACGACTGCCACTGGAGCTTGGGAGCTGTCGGGGAGGGGGATGGCTCACAAGGCCGGGCCTGAGCTGGGGCAGCCTTCCAGGCCCCTGGGTTCGTTGCAGATAACCCGCGAGGGCTGCAAAAGACTATAAAGTGGTGCACTCAGACGGATGGCACACGCCTGTAATGCCAGCACCTGGGAGGTGGAGGTTGGAGGAACCAGGTCAAGACCAGTGTAGGCTACAAAGGGAGTTGGTGGCTAGCCTAGGCTACATGACACCCTGTCTCAAAAAACCTAGTAAGGAACAAGCGTGATGACTCGGGGGTGAAAGCCCCCCCTACCTGAGTTTGGTCCCAAGAGCCCATGGTGGAAAGAGAGAATCAAGTCTGGAAAGTTGTTCTCTGGCCTCCACAAGCGTGGCTTTGCACTAACACACACACACACACGTTATTTATAGATGCTGACACACACTATGCACATGCATAATAGATAAGATTTAAAGATTTTTTGAAAGCTGGTAAGGTGGGAAGGAGACGCCTGGTGTTGGTGGAGGGCCTACCTCTCTGAAGAGGTAGCCATTAGACACCTGTGGCTGCTGATCACTTTTGAAATGTGGTCAGTCCGAACTGAGAAGTAACACACACACTAAATTCAGAATGGGAGGAAAAAGCATCTCAGTTTGGGGGCTAGGGATATAGCTTATAGACAGCTAGCTTAACATTAAGAAGTCCTGGGTTCCATTCCCGAGCAGCACATTCACTGGACCTGGTATCCTAGTACTGGGCAGGTTGACGCTGCTAGATCAGGAGCTCCAGGTCATCCTCCATAGTATGTCTAGTTTGAGGTCACCCTGTTCTACATGAGACCCTATCTCAAAATAAATAAATAAAAATCTCAATTTTATATGATTCAAAGTTGGGCTGGAGAGTTTGCCCAGCCGTTAAGAGTGCTTGTGGCTCTTACAGAGGACAGGGGTCTGATCCCCAGCACCCACAAGGTCAGGACCATCTGTAAGTCCAGTCCCAGGGGACCCAATACCCTCCTCTGACCTCCAAGAACGCCAGGCACAAACATGGTGCATATACAGACAAAATACTCCTACACATAAAATAATAAAAGTAATGAATCTTATTTTAAAGTGAATACTCTTTGTGACGTTTTTGAGTAACAAAATGTTGGGACACTTCTGTTTCATTTTCTTTCCCTTTTTAAAGATTTTTAAAATGTGTGTGTACCATGTGTGCCCCATGGAAGCCAGAAGAGGGTAACAGATGCCCTGGAGCTAGAGTTGTGAGCCACCTGACGTGAATGCTGGGAACCAAACACTGTCCTATGGAATAGCTGAGCCGTCTCTCCAGCCTCCTCATGTACTTTCCTAATCTACCTAGGAGAAAATTCCACATTTGACTCAGTTTGTGTTTCTGTTGGGTAGCACTCATCCAGACCCGTCTGCACATGTATGTGTTAAGTATCTATCCATTTTGCTCAATGCAGCCTTCATCTGGTGGATGTCTATTGATCGTCAGCTAACGAGGTAATGGAATATAAAGATGAAAAAAGGCAGATGAGGGACTCACCTCACCAGGTGACTCTGAGCCTGAAGGAATTGATTTCGTGTAAATGCAAAGAAGGCACTGAACAGTTTTCGGCTGGGGAGTGACAGCATCCCTCTGCCTGGGTGATTCTGTGTCAATCAGTTCCAGGTTGTCACTCACTGTGACAGCCCAGTGTAAGGTAGGTCCCTTGTCCCTGCATGGAGCCGTGCCGCTGACATTTTTTTCTCTCGTTTCTGTTTGTTCAAGTTCATGAAAGCAGGGCTCTTCCTTGTGTTGTTGATCTCTATCCTCAGCTCCTAAAAGTGTCTACTGAGAGAAGCATGGATCGTCGGAGATGATCGCTATTAAAGAAATGGGTAGAGGAAGAGGAAAACCGGAAGTCAGCAGCAGCCAGTCTCTCTGGTACTGGCATCTGTCCTTGGGCTCTCTACCTAAGGTCTTCTTCAGCAGAGGGAGGGAGCTTGCCAGCAGTGATAGAGAAAGGCTGGAATACCCAGGGAGCTCATGGCTACAAAGCTCACCCAGGCAATAGATCTGAGAAATTATTGTAAAGACATGCAAAATTAACAGATGCACTTATCTCACTAAAAACAAGCTTCTAAAAGGGGCACTGCATGAACCCCCCTCTCTGGGGTTGTTTATGGAAATGAAGAAAAAAAGAGACCCCTGGTGACATGGCTCACCACTGTAATCCTAACACTTGGGAGGCTGAGGCAGAGGAATGCTTAGTTCAAGGCTATCCTGGGCTATAGTGTGAGACTGTCTTAAAAAACACAACAGAAGGGCTGGAAAGATGGCTTAAAAAATTAAGAGCACAGGGACCCTGGTTTGATTCCCAGCACCCACATGGCAGCTCACAACCTCTTCTGGCCTCTGAGGACAGCATGCATGCATGTGGTATGCAGGCAAAACACCCACATACATGAAATACAAATGCAATTTTTAAAAAAGAAAATGAGGAGGAGACATTCTCATACCTGCACAAACAAGAATATCACAAACTTTTTTATCTCCACTTTGTCCCCCTAAAAATCATTTGTTCTTCCAGAAGCCATTTTACTCCTTGTGTCTTATTTGTCTCTGGTAGCCTCTCTGCTCCCACGTGCCGGACTAACAGGCGTGTGACACCGTGCCCAGCTCCCGTCTGTTAAGCTACATTTATGTAAGTCTTTACCTTTGGCTGTTTAAGGAGTTGCTTCTTTTGTGCATTCCTATACATAAAAACACACTTCTTTCCTATCGTCAAATTGGTGGCAATATACATACACACTCACTTAACCTGAGAGGAGGCTCTTCCTCCCTAACAGTGGACAAATACCCTAGCTTATTATTCCTCTATGGAATGACTCGGAAATAGATATTCAATGGTCTCCCTAAGGTTCCTTAATGGAAATAGAGCCCAGGACGATAGCCCCGTGGTGCCTTCCTTTCCCTGGGTCCTGCCCTCCATGCCTTGCAAAGACACTGCTTGCACGCCGTCTTTATCTGCTTACGGGGAGCCCAGCCTGAGATGTGAACTGAGAGTGTTTCTTGGGATATCCTTCTAAAGGAACTGCCCTCCACCAGTCCTTATCTGTTTGCTCCAAGAGGAGCCGGCCTAAGATACAACCGAAAGAGGAAAAAGTAAGATACAAGTTGAGAAAGGGGTGAGAGAAGAGAGTCACATGCACACACAGAGGAGGTTCAAACAAGATCAAGGCTACAGGAAGGACTTTTCCTTCAAGGCCACTGATGATGTAAGCAAGATTATACCAGAAGCTTAATGAGGTTGACTCCACATGTTAAAGAATAGATGGGCGGGGTTGGGGATTTAGCTCAGTGGTAGAGCGCTTGCCTAGCAAGCACAAGGCCCTGGGTTTGATCCTCAGCTCAAAAAAAAAAAGAAAAAGAAAAAAAAAAAGCCGGGCAGTGGTGGCGCACGCCTTTAATCCCAGCACTCCGGAGGCAGAGGCAGGCAGAACTTTGTGAGTTCAAGGCCAGCCTGGTCTACAGAGCGAGAGCCAGGAAAGGCACAAAGCTACACAGAGAATCCCTGTCTCAAAAAACCAGTAAAAAAAAAAAAAAAAGGAATAGATGGTCTGGGGAGACGGCTCACACTTACTGGACAAGTGTGAGGCTGGAGTTTGCCTCCCCAGATATGATACAAAATACAGGAATGTGAGTGGGCTTCCTGTAACTCAAGCCCTTGGTAGGCAGAGGCAGGAGCCACAGGGAAAGCTAGCTAGCTAGACTAACCAAATTAGCGACTTCTGGATTCAGCCAGAAACCCTTGCCTCGGGAAATATAGTAAAGAGTAATGCAGGAAGTCATCCAAAGCCAAAGTCAGGGCATGTACGCGCGCGCGCACACACATACACACACACACACACACACACACACACACACACACACACGCATTCACATTTGTATGAACATGCCTACATACATGCATTCACAAACCTCACACACACACATACACATACATAGAGGGAGAGGGAATAGAAAGGTCCAGGAACTATAAGACTGCTGTGGCAGTTTGAATGTAGTCGGCCCCCATAAGCCAGGTAGGGCAGCATGTATCTGTAATCCCAGGCGGATCTGTGGACGCCCCAGGTTCAGCTAGCCTGGCCTATGTGGTGAAGTTCCAGGCCAACGAGCAACCTTGTCTCAAAGAAGAGGTAGAAGGTACCTGAGCATCAACACTTGAGGTTGCCATCTGACCTTACAAGCACACTATGCATGCACTACACAGAGAAACCCTATCTTGAAGAAAAAAAAAAAAAAAAGATTAAGAGAACTTGAGCTAGCTGGGCTTCTGGGACACACTTTTTTAAAATCATTTACCTAAGCCACAGTCTATATGGCTCCTCAAGAGAAACTCCTAGCTAGCATGCGTGACACTTCCTTGTTCCTATTTTCTACCCTCTGCAGCCCCTGCTTTATTAGGGGTAGGGGCAACACCATATCCTACCTTTACCCATATTGATTTTCCCACTAAACTAACCTCTGTCACAATACCTTACTATATTTATTAAAAACCCTCAATCATCAGAATTCTATTTAAGCTAACACTATGATTGCATAAAATCATTGCTTCAGGTGAACAGCACAGCTTAAGGGGAAATCATCTGCATAATGATCTACAGGTATAAATTCCCAGGAGAACGGGATATGTCCATGAGATAATCACACTACATTAAAGGCAGTGAGGATTCCCCCACACCCACTCACACAGTGCCAGACACCAGAGAAAAATGGCAGCAGCAGACATGCAAAGACACAGAAGTAGCAAGAGACATTCTGGAGCCGAAGCCCTTGGGGCCTTGCCTATCCGAGATTGGCTCATCAGTGCTTTGCTTCCTGGTGGACTGATTCCCTGAAGCTCAGGTGCCACCTGCTGCTCCTCTGACATGGCCACCAGCACCACACAGCAGCTCACAACTGCCTAATTCCAGTTCCAGGAGATTGGATGACCTCTTCTGCCCTCTGAGGGCTCCTGCACACACACACACACACACACACACACACACACACACACACACACACACACTCACACTCACTCACACAGGTATACACAAACATAATAAATACTTAAAAAAAGAAAGACAAATTTATTAACCTTTTATTTATTTGGTTGGTTTTTAGAAACAGGGTTTCTTTGTGTAACAGCCCTGAATGTCCTGAAACTCGCTTTGTAGACCAGGCTGGCCTCAAACTCACAGAGATCCACCTGCCTCTGCCTCCTGATTAAAGGTATGTACCACCATTGCCCAGTGTGACCTTTTATTTTTATGTGAATGGATGTTCTGCCTACATGTGTGTTTGTACACCATGTGTGTGTTGAATCTCCTGAGGCTAGAGGGATGACAGTTGTGAGCTACCATGTGGGTGCTGGGAATTGAACCCAGGTCCTCTGGAAGAGCAACCAGTATTCTTTTTTTTTTTTTTTTTTTTTTTGGTGAGCAACCAGTATTCTTAACCCCTAAGCCATCTCTCCAGGCCCCCAAAACAAGTTTATTGTGGCTCAGTTGGGAGATCTGGGCCATAACCAATTGGCATTTTGTTTTGGGCCGATGGCAGCCCAGTGCTGGTTCCCACCACTTCCTAACAGTGTCAAGCCTCTAACGCTGTGCCTTCAGAGTACATTCCAGATCCACAGTCAGTGTCTGTGATGTGAAAGCTGAGAAGGAGCAGCATTCACAAGTGTGTAGTGGACACAAATGGTTCCAGAGCAGACTGTTGGGGAGTACAGGGAGGCGATGGGAGACATCAGACGCCAGGCAGATTTACAAGGGAAAGGTTGGGGCTGGGTGAGCATTTCAGCCCTGGAGCTTTAGGACTTAAGCAGTTTCTTAAGTGATTTTTCCTGTGTCTAATGTTCCATTCTGAAGCTCACGAGTCCGCTGCACTCCAGACTTTGAATCCATGCTCTGAAGCCCAACGGTAGTGGCCGTAAAGGAACACTTCTCACTTGGCACCCGTTACCTCTCATGGTAGCCACTTTCCAGAGGTTAAGGTCGACCCCGAAGTGGCTACTCTTTAGTTTTGCTTGCACTGAATTCCGGACTGAGAAATACACCTCAGAAAACAGTGGCAGACTCTAAGGGGGCCTGCAGGGACCAGCAAACGCAAAGATAACCAAGGTCTGGCTCCAAGGGTAAACGCACTCGTTGGCGAGACTTGAGCCCTGCACGGTGGAAGGAGATCACCGACTTAACACAGAAGTCCTCTGACATCTGCGCACACACGAGAGCGTGTCCTACTATTTTTATAATTAAAACCCTCAGCCATCTGCTCATGTTTGTTTGGATATGGACGCTTGACAACAGTGAGTGCGAATGCCTTGCTGACATTGAAGCCCAGTTCATGGAAGTCCCGTCCTCACCTTGTCAAACGTGTGCTACCGTGTACACCATGCTCTCATCTTCTCTCCGTCACCACAGCTTTGTAAGGAAAAAAGAATGAGAAGAAAATGGCGCCCACCTTTACAAACAACAACAACAAAAAAAAAACCCGAAGACTCATTTATTCCAGACTGGCCTTGAACATGCTACTTATGCAGCTGAGGATGGCCTTGAACTTAATGATCCTTCACCTCCCATGCTGACATCACAGGCAAACATCATCACCCTGATCTTATGTAGTGCTGGTGAATTGAACCCAAGGCTTTGTGTAATCTACACTCTTAGAAACTGAGCTACATCCCCAGATATAGATTTGGCTCCCTGTTTTGAAGACAGTCCCTGGGTAGCCTGGAACTCACTATGATGTAGACCAATCAGGACAGCCTAGAACTCACAGAGATTCACCTGCCTCTGCCTAAAGGCATTTGCCATCGTGCCCAGATTTAGAGAAGGGGTTTCTTTTCTTTTCTTTTTTCTTTTTCGAGACAGCGTTTCTCTGTGTAGTTTTGTTACCTGTCCTAGGTCTCGATCTGTAGACCAGGCTATCTTCGAACTCAGAGATCCACCTGGCTCTGCCTCCCAAGTGCTGGGGTTAAAGGCGTGCACCACCACCGCTCTGCTAGAGAAGGGTTTTCAAGGATTGGCCAGCAGGATAATTCTGTTTATAAATTTATGCACCTTCATCTCGACCTGTTACCACCCTTGGGATCAGAGGAGGAAAAGTTCATCTGTGGCTTCCAACACTTTCCTCCGTCTCCCTAAGTTTGTAGTCCACAGCTGTGCCAATCAACCGGAGCCTTAGCTGTTACCATGGTTACCTTGCTTTCCAGTCTGGTCTCTAGAGCTGAGGTTATTTTCTGTTTCGTTTTTGTGATAGCCATAAACAGAGCAAATGTAGGCAAATGAAGCAAATTATTTCCTTTTTATTGAGCAAACAAGGATGATACAGATAGGCAAAACCAAGGCACAAAGCATTTTAAAAACCGGGGGCTTGTGAAGCAAAGATCTGTCTTATCCCACAGTAAAACAGGACGGAAGTACAACTGAATTGGTCCAGAGTGCTGCCACTAACAAGGTCAGTGGTTCTGATGGTTGTTGGGTTTGTATCTGAGTTATTCCCGGCACTGAGTAGATGCAATCTGAGGCAGGACAAGCGTCCCACCGTGTGTGGATCAGTCCCACACACAAACTGTTCGGCACCTTTGCGACTGTCTAACGTCCTGTTGGACATTTATGCAGGACCTACAGTTTGTCTGAGGGAACACTTGGTTTCCTCTGAGACAAACTGTAGTAATCTGTCCTGTCTTATTATCATTTGAATTGAAGTGATTCCGCCCTTCCCTATGGTCTGCTATGGCGTACCCTAATGCTGTCTGTCAACATCCCTTCAAGCTTTCACTTTCCTGTACTTGATTCATTTCAGGAAGTTGCCCATGCTGGACTCTTAAGCCCAAACCTATTATAGGGAGAGTTAACAACTCTTTCAAAGACTATAACATGAAGTCATGCCTGAGCACTTACATACTGAAACTCAGTGTGTCCATTGCCAAGTTCTGACCTTCTGTGTTTCATTTCCATCATAAAACAGGTAGGGCACTAAATTAAGTTTTAATAAACTCATGTGTAGACTGTATTACCTGTAAATCATCTCAAGATGTTATAAAAAAAGGTCAACCTTTAGAAGGATGAACAGGTCTAGTAGGGTCTATGGCTGTCATGACTGGGCGGGGGGAGGGCGCCACTGGCATTTAGCATGTGAGAGCCAACTACATATCTTTTGATACATTGGGCAGTTACTCACAATAAGAAATTATTCTGCGCCCTATTCGAGTTTTGAATGTCTCATCAGACATTCATGTATGACCTACAGCTCGTCTGCAAGAACGTATCTCTTCATTCTCTGTCTCACGATCTGTAAGTTCTTTTGTGCAGTATCTTTATTTCAATGAAGGTATTTCGTTCTTACCATGTACAGGTGGTCCTGACACTTGCAGATGACTTGTCTCGTTAGTTTTTATTCGAATGTTCACTATGTCTCTGCTTTTTCATGTTTCTCCAATTCCTTTCTTCTAAGCTCATCCTGACTCATGGTAAATGTAGGCATCTAACGACTCCATTATGTCTTAGTACTGTAAAGTCGTGCCGGAGTTAGGGCCTTTGGTTTCCCTCTTAAATTATATTAACTTTAATTTTTTTTTAATTAATGGAATCATGTGGAGACTATATCTGAATTGTACCTTGGAGATTAAACAAACAGGATACTGCTGTGTGTGTGTGTGTGTGTGTGTGTGTGTGTGTGTGTGTGTGTGTGTGACCCAACAGAACAGTTCACTGAGAACCACTGAATTAGATGCAAAAGTCACCAAGAACTGCAAGGACACCAGAGTGGCTTGTTCGGGGGAGGTAAAAATGGACTTGGGAACAACTGCCATGTGTAAGCGGTTGGGGGAGGCTAGGAGCCTGGGATGAACTCAGCTTTTCCATAGCAGGGAGCAGGTAATACTGTTTATGGGGGTGGGGGAGATGGGGGGCGGGACACAACCACACCATGAACTGATCCCTTTGAAGGCAGCAAACAGAGTGGTCATTTTGGGCCTGTTGAACCAGAGATAGCTGGTAAATAGCCAACCAGAAGTTAGCTTACTGAGGAGTGGGATAAATTGCATATCTACAGGATTAAGATCTATGTCAGAGAGGGAAAAAAAGAAAAATCAGTGAATTAAAAAACATTGTGGCAAGCACCCCAGAAAAGAATCCCACTCTAAACAATTCTCGATACAGTGTTACGGGTGGAGACCTCGAAGTGTAAAATCTGCCCAAATGCCCATTAATGCCGACCACGTCTGCTGGAAGGAACGTAACAGAAACTGTGGTAACTGGTACAGAATGTTGAGAAAGGGGGATTGGAAGGAAAGCCCTGATCGGAAATAAGGAAGAAAATACTGGCCGAGGCGTCCTAACTGCTCTAAAAACACATCTGCAGTTTTCGAAAAGATGTGGCTAGCAGGTAAAGGCCTATGTGGGGCACTGTTTCCTCTGCACTCTCTGTGGTCACCAGCAAACCAGTCCTGCCTCCTTACGAGGGCCAGCCTTTCAAACATGGCCTTTCCTGGGTCCTGGTGACCCTTTTCTAAGCGAATCCCAATAGCACTCGGGTTTATCCGTTCTGCAACTTAATCTTACTAAAATCCGGATGATTCCACGAAAGCCTGACCTCAAGAAGCTTTCTCTGTAATCACATGAATTAGAACATGGATACCAAGAGCCGAAATGGACAATTAACTCCAGTTAGTTCTTCTGAACTGTACTTGAGGTCTCTTATCATTATATTTCAGAGCCAACTTCATGGAGTCTGTCTTCTAAGTAAATGCAAAGAGAAAGAAATGTGCTCCTCAGATCAGTTCATCGCATGATAATATATAGTACTGCATACTGCTTTTGTGTCTCTCAATAGCGTTTAAATTTAACTCTTAAACTTTTTTCTTCAGCAAGTTTTCTGCCCAAAGCTGCAATATCTTATGTCCCTATTTCAATAAGCATTAGTACATTTCTCTCCAATTTCCCAAACTGATATCCAATTCAACTTAAGCGAAACTGAAACAATGTTACATACACAATAAAACCGAAGAGTAGATGAAAAAGGTGGAAGTAGATTGCAATGTAGAAACCAGCCTGACTGGTCAAGTTAAGACAAAACAAACTTTTCAAAACCTCTGAAAAGGTTGGGGGGGGGGCATGCAGTGTTAACAAAAAGCACTGCCTGGCCCTTGTAGGGGTACAACCTGGGACCTGTGAATCTGGTGACAAAAAGTTTGAGAACTGCTGCTTTAAGACGTTAGGTAACATAGCAAGGAAATACAGAAGTCTACTGCCTGGGGATGATTTGGTCCTAGAGGTCAATAGGATGGTTTCGGCGCCAGTATACGTCGTTTCTAACTAATGACGCAGGATTTCTCTTTTTCTGGGTCCGTGTACTCAATCACATATGCCGGGTAAATCTGCTCTTTCTGAAAGATGACAAAGACGGAGGGATTCAACCTGGTATCCACACAGCTGTCATAGAGCGCAGGAGGCCTACTGTATGTCATATTTCCTTCAATAGAATCTCCAACCAGGACTCGGGCTACAAACATAACAATGTTTCTTGCATCATATGGACAATTTTTGTGGGAATAGAAGGCTTCTTTAGCAAAGTAATTTCCTAGAAATAATCAGAAAAAGGTAGAGAATTGTTATCAATGAGCATAGGTAATAACAGGATACAGAGAATCAGACATTGGTATGGATGAAACATTTGCCAATAATACCTTCCTGACACTTGTAAGCCCTCTGAAGTAGTTAATCCTCACCATTGACTTAACTGCACCTCTGCATGTGGTAACATATCCAGAGAGGTTCAAATGAATGACCCACCTTGAAAGTAGGTGATGTCATTCCAAGGGCTGGAAACCCAGACTGGGTGGGAAAGAAGAAAACAGATGTGCACCAGCGCACGCGTGTGTGTGCACACACACACACACACCCCACTTCCTGACCACGGCTATAATTTGATCAACTGTCTGAATTACTGTTCTCGTGCCTTTCCCACCAAAATAAGCCCCTCCCCCCTTAAGTCGCTTCTTCTTGGGTATTTGGTCACGGGGACAAGATAATCAGCGGGGGCAGAAAGCTGACGTCAGAAGTGGGGCTGCTGCTGTCCTGAACCCGACCCAAGGTTCTCAGCCGTTGGAGCTGGTTTGTGGAAGGAATGTGGAAGAGCCTGGGTCTGTGGGCTGAAGCTGCAGGCAGGGCTTAGTGCACTGTTGTGGTGGGAAAGACCAGAATGCTGACAAGTGAAAATGGCGTTTCTGAGATTGTAACGGGGAACAAAGGCTCTGTTGGAAATCGGGCTAGAAGACATTTCTGTCACAGTCTAGCAACCAACCAGCCATATCCTAACCACTTCTTTCTTTTTTTCTAAGAATTATTTTTTATTGTTATGTGTATGTATGTGTGTAGTTATGTGAGCTTTTGTGCCCCACATGCACGCAGGAGCCTGCAGAGCAGAAGAGGACATCAGATCCTCTGGAACTGGAGTCATAGATGGTTGTGAGCCTCCATGTGGGTACTGGGAATTGAACATGGGTCCTCTGGAAGAAAAGCCAGTGCTCTTAACCCGTAAGCTATCTCTCCACCCTATGTCCTGACCATTTGAACCAAGCTGAATGTAAGGGTAATGCAAAGGTCTAAATTTCTTGGCAAAAGGAATTCAAGACAGTAACATTCAGGCTGCTCACTATGTTTATTGAGACTTATAATGAGAATTGAGAGCAAGAAGATAATAAAAACTGTGCAGTTTGCCAAAGAAAGAATGATAAATTCATTTAAAGCTGAGGGCAGAGCAGAGAAAACATGTACCAAGAAGGTGCCTATAATTGTTAAAGATATTGGCTCCATTAAGCAGAACCCTTACTTTATTGGGACAAAAGGAAAAATGCCTTGAAGGAAGATAATCTCTAGGAGCTGCCAAGTGTAAAGATGCAAACTCACCTGAAAAGGGGTCTACTAACTCAACTACATCCCCAGTCCTGGTTGGGGAGTTTTGAGATAGCTCTCATCACGTAGCCCAGGCTGGCCTCAAACTTACAGCAATCATCTGGTCTCCGGTCCTGAGTACTGTGATTACAGCCTGAACTGTGTGTGTGTGTGTGTGTGTGTGTGTGTGTGTGTGTGTGTGTGTGTACACACACGCGTGCAAGTCAGAGGCCAACCTTAGATGCAGGTGTTCAGGTACCACCCA